GTAGAAAGTTGTTACTTTTATTTCATTTTTGCTTGTTTTCATCCCAGCTTGTTATTGTAAAAAAATACTATCCATAGAAACTGTGCCTCCTAGATAGACTAGTGCATCTAAAATTTAACATAAATCAATTATTTTGAAACAATATAATCAATTCTGTAGTTTTTTGGGGAGGTCACCTCCTTATAAATGTCCTTACAGAAAATCTAACTTCTCATTTTAAATCAATACCTTTACTTTTAATACTTGAGTACAAAAAATATCAGGTACTTTTAGACTTTTACTCAAGTAATATTCCTAAAGGAGACTTTTACTTTTACCAAAGTAATTTTTGGTAAGATACTTGTACTTTTACTCAAGTATTACTTTGTGGTACTTTACACAACACTGCTTATTAGTTCTCCATACATGCCAATTTCAACAATTATTTTAACATTGTCAGTGTGTGAATGACTGTAAGGTAAAGTGCTTTGGGGTCTGATGGGGCTTGATAAAGTGCTATATAAGTTCAGTCCATTTAACATTTATCATTGTTAGATGAATAAAAAAAAAACAGACTTTGCTTCAACCTGTGTTTTCATCTTATGTTTGTAATTACAAGATTTTTCCAAACAAAAAAGAAATATAAAAAGGTCAGGTTGTGTACTCTAAAATTCCAGGGAGCAGGCTCAAAAAAATAACAAAAAAAAAAACTCCAAGACTTGGAGGAAAAAAKAAAAAAAATTACAAAAATGAAAAAGCTGACGTGGCAGCTGTAAACATACTTACAAAAATCCCCAAAGAAAAACTGTGGTAAGGTAAGCAGGTAGACAACAAGAACGTTTTGGAAGCACAAGAACAGGGAACACAAAGGGATCCTAACGAGCGTAAAGCAGAATCACCTGGGGAGAGTGGGCGGGGCCAGAGCAGAGACAGGAAGGAGAACTAAACTGAGACAGGGAACAAAGAAACATTAGAAAGAWGTTTTTGTCTGTTRGCAAAATCRCAAAATATTGTCAACTTGAYACAATACTATGTTATCACAATTTTYTTTACAATCTATTATGTCCATTTCATAAAGGTTCTCGTTAGTTTTAAACACAATATTTCCTTCTCTCTCTCCAGACTCACACAGTTCGGGGTACAGGAGTCCTCCAGCAGTATGTTGACAGACAGCAGCTTCTCAAAGAGTTGAATGGTGACTTCAGTCACTGTCACTCAGACTGGCTGGCCTTCAGACTGGTAAGAAACACGCGTGCTTTGCCTACAGATAAAGAGTTTTGATCTTTTAGCACTTCTGCAGTCGTACAGTGCATCTGGGTATTTTACCATAACCTCTGGATACTTTCCAGCTTTGGTTGTGAGAGAGACAACCAGGAAAATATGGCTTCAGGCCTTTAAGAATAAGTTGTGGGTTTTTTATTTTCTGAAGTCATTGCAAAGTGGCCTTCCTCTAGGGCAGGGCTATTCGACTGGTGGCCCGTGGGCCACATCCGGCCTGCAAGTGACCAAAGTTTGGCCCACCAATGGGTTCATTCATCTTTTAATCCCAAACCCCCRGTTTTCTACTTTAATTATAAGTTTTTTTTAGTTAGACATAGACATGTGTGGTATCTACAGAAACATCATAATCTTGGCTAGAAGCTGATAAAAAACATTTCTATGAACATCCAAGGCAGTTAAAACTACAAATAGTTGAAGATAAAAAAAAACTACGAAAGCGAAAATAAAATTGGTTAAAAAATTTGGCAAGTCAGAGATGTCAAAATAATATTTGTGTTAAATAGGAGGCAGAATATGTTATTGTTTTTGATATTGTTTAATTATCACTACTTTTATTACATAGGGTTCTGTATGTTGTGTTCATGATTAAATGCAACAAAATAAACTATTTCAAAAGTAACAGATCTTTGTAATACTTGGTTTATTTACATAATAACTTGGATGTTCGGCCCCTGTGCTGTCTGCATTAACTGTGGCCCTCAGAGCAATTTAGTTGAATAACCCTATAGGTACAAAATGTTAAATGTTGTAGATCAGTGTCGCTGTGGATTAGTGGTTAGAGAGTCAGAGGTTTGATTCCAACAGAATGCAGTCACATGATAGGGTTTCCCTGGACAAGACACAGAAGCCCTCATTGCCTCCGATGTATCCCGTCATTATATGAAAATGATCTAAAGCACTGATTAGACTCTACAGAATAATTTATTCAGATTAGCTTTGTAGAGATGGAGTGGTATATGAACAAATGTGTKTTGATGGCACAGATTGTKTTGCAAAACAYRATGAATAGCCTGGTTGCATAGAAAAAGGCTGTAGAAGTACAGTTCATTTACCAGTTAATGCAATATGACTGAACACTCCAGAATAACAAACCCAAAATATTGACCWGTACCTAACCAGTAGATGGTTCAGGTTGCTTATGAAGAAGTACTTTCATGTTTTTCCAGTTTAGTCGTAGAAGTACGAGGAATATGAAAAATGAGGTGGAGGGTGTGGATTTCCTKTTATTGTCAATGATTTCCGATATCTATAACATATTTATCAGTGTTTTATGCTTTAAACCCTGTAGCAACATCAGTAATTGAGGTTGGACAGTATTATGTTGGAGACTGTCTGCGATACTGTGGTCACTTTCCATGTAGCATCAATTATGCTAATGCTAGCTGCCTGTCACGTTCTCTCGTCCTGGCCACACCTCCGCTCTCCCCCCCCTCCCCTCCCCTCAGAGTCTCCACTTTGTGCATTTTTCAAATTTGCGTTGGGGGCGGAGTTATCCTTTCACAGGGGGGTAAGTTACACTTTAAGATATAAATCTTCAAAAGTGCAGATAGTTTATTACTGCAATTTTTGTAATGCACACAGTAGCCATATTGGATTATGAGTTTCAATTTACAGTTCCTACAGAGTACATAGTGGATTTTTGTGAATCGAAACTTGGAAATTTTGACTTCCTRTGAATTTTCAACTAAAAACTGGAACACGGTTACGTGGGGAAGTGACATTACTTCAGAGTCAATTCAAACTTGAGAGTTAAATGAGAGAATTAATTCACTTCCTTTTGTTTTTGTTTTGTTCTTCTTTAGCGTCTGGAGCGACTGACAGAGTGCTGCGAGAGCGCCCTCTCCCTGCTTGGAGAAGCACTGCAGGCGATGGAGACCGAGCCAATACCGAACAACATCCAGGTCATCCACCAAACTCATGCGTTTTGCTGTTTCTGATAATTGTGACCAAATACCCATGAATAATGGAAAAGAATAATTAAGAGTAAATGTTTGCTGAACCCAGTGATCTTCTTCAGGCTGTTCCTCAGAGCGTAGACAAACACAGACAGCTCATGGCGAGTGTCCTGGCTGACCAACGCTTGACTGAACTTCAGCAGAGAGGGGGGGCGTGGCTCGCAGGACTGACATCTTGTTCGTCCGGCATGGCGCAGAAGTCACCAGATTGCAGGTACGACACATTTACTTTTATACTACTGTGGTACTAACTTTGACTTTAAGGTGTCTTTTCAGACATGATTTAGGTTAAATTGATGCTAAAACTAGTAGAAGGCAAATGGACTTCTTTTCTTGTTTTTGAAGGATTTTTATTCTCTTATCCAAAAGGCTTATTTAGTTCTGAAACTGGTAGCAGGTTGCAGTTTAAACATGCACACAGTTAACAATCTACTGGAAAACGGCTGGTGTTGGCATGGCCATGGGTGACAATGACGAATCCTTCCTGTGCTCTGAGAACTGGAGAGTTGTTCTGCCAACCACACAACATACACAAACACACACTCCCAACTCTTACTAGCACACTTTTCCCCTCTCAATCGGATGCGTAGGTAGGGATTTACCCGACATGAGGAATATTTTTGGAGCTTTTTATTTTTGCTTTCGTGGTTATCTCTCTGTTGCATCTTCCTCTCGGGGGTGGGCGGCACACAGAAGAAGGCACATGTTTTGAAGAGTCATCAGAGCATAAATAGGACCAGACAGGAAATGTGTCACACTTACTTCAGTCACACAAAATGATACCGTCCCGCAAGTGCTAATCACTGTAGCAGTTTACAGTATGAAGACATGTACTGTGGACCCAACAGTTAGAATTAAGTATTAAAAAAATCAGCAATTTTCAGCATATGACTTGTTCAATAAGTTCTGCTGCCATCTTCTTTACAACGAACCTGCACCAATCTTACAGTGGTTTGCAAAAGTATTCATACCCCTTGAACTTTTCCATATTTTGTCACATTACAACCACAAACATAAATATATTTCACTGGAATTTAA